TAAATTAAAATGCTGAGGACTTGGTCTTAGGAGGACTTTCAGGCAATTCAACAATTACCAATTAAAGCATAAACCTGCCTCTCATGCTGTAGACTCCAAAAGTGGTTCCAGTTCCAGAGTCTTCAGGGACAGAATAGCACACTGTAAACATTAGAAAAATGACATGTATTTACCCTTCTATACACAGAAATATAAATGTGCATACACTTACCTCTTAGTAAATATCTTGAACAGATATGAGAGTAAAAAAAAAATAGTAACAGCTGTTGGAATTTTAAGAGTTGTTTTGGTTTAATTGTGACAGGACAATTCCACAGCACACAAAGATTTCCAGGAACTAAAAGTTAATCTGAAAGCCAATAGGCAAATATATGTGTTTTCCATCTGCACTATTTTTAATCTATTACTTTAAATTCCTATCCAAGCCCTTTAAGAATGCCCAGGAAAAAAAAATAGTTTTCCAATGTAGTCATTAGGGTTTCAAATCACTGGAAAGCACACAGTTTCCCTGCTATGCTGCATAGACAAAAAAAGCTTTTTTTGGGCCAGTGTGCCTTTTTACTGCATTTATTTCTAGGAGAAGGGTAACTTCTTCCTACATCAACTTTTAACAAGGAAAGAAATAGAAAGTACATAGAAGTAAAGGTAAAGCCTACAAATCTTTGTGCTCTTGCCAGAGGTGCAGGGACTGGGACTCCTTTAGCAGTGTGAGTAACAACACCAAGCCTGCACTTCACGTTTTAATATTGAACTTTATTGTCAATAAATGTTTCTATACATAAATCACACACAAGCCCTCATTTCTTGTATTCCATGAAAATGACAAGTTACACTAAATGATCATTACAGACACATCTTAAAGCCAGTGCAGTATAGAACAGTACAATCATAATACCTGTTTACAAGATTAAATATATATACATTTTTTAAAAGCCAAAACAATGGAAGTAGAATACATTAGTGATTAAATATAAGATTATATAGTCTATAGCAGCTTTAAAAAAAAATTCAACTACTCTATCTAGCAGCAACATTGTCTAATGACTGTTAGACAGTTTGTATTTTCAATCAGTAGGTGTTTTGTTCCCATAGTTCTTACAGACTGTAGCTGTCTCTAATCATCCTGTCAGCAGGAACAAACAAGTTCTACTTACTGATATTTATAAAATAACAATACTGCAACTTCAACAAAAAAAAAAGTTTGTGTTAATTATCTCCTTCTTATTAAAGAGTGCAACATAGGCTGACTACTTCATTAATGGATTTTTCCTCCAATACAGACTATAAACGCATGGAAATTTCCAGGAGGTCTGGCTAATCCAGGAGAAGACATTGGTAAGTCCTATGAGAACAAGTCAGCCATCAACAGAACTATAAAGACATGAACACCACTGAAATACAGCATGACCCACATTGCTCCTGTGATGGATTGTTTCCTTGAATTAATGGGGAATAGATAGAGTGACACAATCCTGGGACCCTAATGCTAACAGGGTAGCATGTTCAGGACAAATTTGTGTTTGTAACATTTACTTTTTTCCACACTTTCTTTAAGTGAGTGCGTGAGGCCAGCTGTTTTTGTAGGCTGGTCAGATATGCTGCAATAGGAGCCAGAGGTGCAGAGGATTAAGGTAATCCATATATAGCCCAAATAAAACTGAAACAGGGAGCGCTCAGCTCACACTGGAATCCAGGGCAGTGACCTCAGGGATGGACTGAGCAAAAATTTCCATTCCAATAAATGCACTTGCTTCCTTCCATCCCCTTCACTTGATTAGTTTGGACCAAGAGCTCCTCGGCTCAGGGCCCGGGTGAAGTGCAGGGCCTCAGTCTTGTGGGCACCTACTCCCAACAGGGACGTGAAGCACTCCTGTGGTAGGAAACAGTGCTGGATTGAGGAGACTTCTCATTTCTCTCCAACACAGCACAGCTGATGAGCACTGCTGCAGTTTATGCTCACAGGTGAATGAACTGGGGTGTTTATGAAGAGAGAAAATCTGGGTTTTTTCTCCTTGTATCTCAGCCTTTAAAATCGTGATCCATAGGCTGGTTACTTAAGCTGGGTGTTGAGCCCAGGCTTCCTGACTGTTCGTACCTTAGAAACAGCTCCTGGTTTAGCAGCCTCCCTACAACAATGTGTGGTGGGGTTGTATTCCAGTTATTATTTCAATACATGGAGAAAGTTGCTGGTTGTCAGGATATGGCTGAGTTTGGTTTTTGTAACTCATGAGTCATGTTTTAAGTCTTTCTGTCAAACCTGGTGATGGAAATCCAAAATATTTGCTGGACAATGTAATGTAACAGGGTGAAATGGATCCACGTTTTCAAAAGAATCCCAAATGCCATGGCTGTTGTCTAGCCAGGCTCCCTCTCACTTCTAGTGCCAGCAGCAGCAGGATTTTTGTACCCAAGGGAACAACAAATGACCAGCACTGGCATTTCAGTGGGACTCCCCAGAGTGATACTGCTGCAGAGTACAACAGCAGCCATCCCTCACTTCACAGGTGAGATTATGGCTGGAGCCTGGACTGAAAACCACCCAGGGGAAAAGTGCCTTACAGCTTCCCTCTTGCCACTTCTAAACTACAGAATAATAAAAGTTACGATTCTCTGCATCACATCTTATATTACAAAAAGATATAAATTAGTCAAGCATAAAATATAATAGATCCTCATTTTCCTTTTTTCATTCTTACATCAAACCTTAAAAACACAAGTCACTCACGGGACTAAATTTTAAATTACAATTAAAAATTGCAATTACATTGCTTAAAATCCTTTGGTTACATGAAGTGACAACATGCTTGGCTGCCTACTTAAATGAGTGCAAACTGACTCATGGAAGTGACACCAATTTTATAATGCAGATTAAGCAAAGTGCACACATTTTTGTATCTGACTATCTCCGAAACTCCAGCCCTAGTATTCCTTCTAGTTTAATTGTCATTAGATATTTTTATATATACACACTCACATTTAAATAAAAGGGAAACAGAAAATGGCACTTCATCTAAAAGCAAAGCTCAAAGCTTAAATGAAATCCATCATTACTGCAAGTTTCTTAACCACAGTCTGCCTCAGCATTCCTCACGATCTCAGTTCACTTCTGTAGCCCCCTGCCCACTAACAAAACCACCTGCCACAGGGAGTTTCTATTTCCAATATCTGAAACTACCCCTGGAACATCTGCTTTGTTCCCCTCGGACTTGGCAAGATGCAAGCCTCCACAGGATGGTGAATCTCTATGAGTCTTTTAAAATGCATTTGCTTTTGGAAGCAAGCCAGCACACATTCCTTACTGAAAATGAACTAACAGGAGCAGGTAACATTGCACAACAGATCTGGACATTGACCTCTCAAACCAGAGATGACCAGGAGGTTACATTATTTTGGGAAAAGCCAGTATTTAACCTACCAGTACTAACCCCAGGTAAGAGTAGGATTTGACTACAATGAAACTGCAGACTTTGGAGAAATCAGTGGAATATTAAAAAACTTCTTAGGGGCTCTTCAATTTGTTATTGAAGAGAAAAATATCTCTGGAGGAGATATTTTCCTGGATGGGTGGGTGGTTCTCTGGCTGTAATTGCAGCACACAGATCCTGTAGACCCTTAAAGTTCCTGCTGCGTTTGTGGTGAGGAATGTTAGCACTGACCTCACTCTGGCTGGGGCACACAGAATGCACACATGCAGCACAGATGCAGCATGTTTACAGCACATTTCCTGCAAGAACAGGCTCTGGGCTGCACTGGTGCTGTGGCGTATTTGAAATGCCACCTGACTCTTACGGTACATCTTGAAAAGGATCTGGCACCAACTTTCACTTTCTGAAAAGAATTCTACCCATTTTGTTACCCTTTGGGGTCAAGTGCAGTGAAACGGATCTGATCAAGAGGTCTGACATCAGTACAGGTGCAGCTGCACGGGATCTGAACCCGAGACTGGGCAGGGGCAAGGAGAGGGATGGGGATCCAAAGGACTACAAAGACAGTGCAGTGCTGTCTTGGATTAACAGATCAGTGGAGCCATCAGCCATCAGTGTCCATTACAAACCACACCCTGCACAGCATTACCAAAGTAATTCTGTAGGATATACACAGGAAAGGCACACAGCAATTACTGTTGTTTGGGAATCAAAATATTAGCTTATCCTTGTGTTGCAAAAACATACCTACATTCTGAAAACCTTATGAAGCAGAGTAGAGAACACGCTGCCTAAGAGGCTTTCCACCTTTCCAAAAGGTTTAAGGAGTGCTAAGTTACTCTCAGATGTACTGCAAGGATTGCTCTTTCCACCCAGGAGACACAGCAGTTCGAGAGGTTTTTGAAGAGACTGGCATCAAGTCAGAGTTCAAGTCCATCTTAAGCATCAGGCAGCAGCACAAGCACCCCGGAGCCTTCGGGAAGTCGGACATGTACATCATCTGCCGCATGGAGCCCTCCTCCTTCCGCATCAGCTTCTGCCAGCACGAGTGCCTCCGCTGCGAGTGGATGGACCTGGAGGAGCTGGCCAGGACGGAAAACACCACGCCCATCACCAGCAACGTGGCCAAGCTCTTACTGTTCGGGTACCGGGAAGGGTTTGATAGGATTGACATAACCATGAGGGAGTTCCCAGCTGTCTACACAGGCCTGTTCTACAAGCTCTACCACAGGGAGCTGCCCGAGCCCTACAGAAACATGACATGATAGCAATACATTTCACATTTCCTTAGAGTAATAATTTAGAATTACTGCAGTGTTGAATATTATAGTTATCTGTGGACTTATTTTTAGGTAATTATTAGAACATAATTATTCTCTAATAAGCTAAGATATAAATTATTTTTAAAGGTAATTATTGCTATGAGTGTGCATCAGGTTTGTTCTCCTCTACTCCGTAAAGCAAGCATAAGGTAAATAAAATACATAAGTACCTAGAAGAAAACAAAAGAGTTACTGATCCTGAAAATATATTCTGCGAGTCATGTTACCTCCACGCACACAGGCACAATAGGTTTAAAGAGCAATATAAAGACAGTATGAAACATTCATGGTTTAATCTGCTATCTGCAAAAGTAGTTATAATATCAGCAAATAATTGCTTATATTTGGCTACTTCAGAGAGGAGTAGGAAAGGTGACATCTTTAGTGCTGTGTGGCACTGGTGCTCAGAATCTGCCATGGAAGTCAGCTTTTAGCAGACATGGGAAGGAAAAGGATAGCTTTCTGTCCAGGTCCAGTTTTTGGTCCAGGTTTGTACTGTCCAGTTCTTTTCAGTGCCACGTACCAATCCGAGTATTTCCGTGAGCGGTAAGTGTTATAGTTATTGGATTCCAAACGTTCAAAAAAGAAACATTCTTCTGTTGCGTATTTCTAAAAGGGAAAAGAGAAAGCATTACTGGTGTAGCACCACAAATCAATTCTTCACATTCTGGGGACTAACTTAGCAAGAATGTGAGCCGTAACTTTGGTTTTAAGAAATGGAGATTAACTGTTTCACAACTGTGAACATACTTACTGTGAAAATGTTGTTAAAAACTTAAAATAAGAGGTTCTTACCTATGGTTCATTTATTGTCTCTAACACAGATTAAGTAGCTTTTAATTTCCTTTTAATTACTGAAAATGTATAAAAGAAGCCTTTAAGAACAAAAACGTTAAGCAGAATATAGACAATTCAGTACAATTGCCCAAGCTGGAAATTCATGCAGAGGCACATCAAAAAAGGGTGAAAAAAGAAAAGTCCTTATTTCTCCCCAAAGCATATGTGACACCATTGCTTCCCTACAGTCTGTTGTCAATGTAAGCATTTTGACATTAACCCCATCATTAGGGTGACAAATGACAGCTCAGGCTTCATGAACTGTGTATTCCTTAACATCCCCCAGAGGTGACATTTCAGGAGCTGCACTGCTGTCTAGCAAGAGTGTGATGCCAGCCACTGCACTGTCAATCCCAGCACCTGGAAAAACTCTGGATATCTGTGGTTTTTCCTTTCAAATACACTTCAGTCCAGGCTGCATTCAGAGTGCAGATCTGACAGTAGAAGCTTTCTCAGCACCTCATGAAACACCTGAACTCTCCTCAAACTAAATGCAGGTTATTTTCACATTCTTTGAGCACAATTTGAATCCCTAACATCAAAAGATAAGAATTTCCCTTTGAGTCAAGTCCTTCAAGTCTGGCAAAACCTGGCTGATCACAGCAAAGCCACATAAGCATGACAGAATGAACAGGTCATATTCTCAAATAACAAATTATTTATCATAAAATACAAGTCAGTCAAAATTCTTCCTTTGATGGGAACTTTGGGAAATTTCTTCATTAAATTAAATAATCACATTTCACTCCATAAAGTGAAAGTATTTCATTCTTACAATTAAACTGCAAAGTCAAAATAAGCCATATCAGATGGGAAATGTTTCCATTTTTTCATCAAAACTCTGCTGGAACAGATGCATTTCTGCACAAATATTTTCAGTGAAAAGAGCATTTTCCAAGGGAAGGTTTTGACTATCTGCATTCACATCCAGCCATTTTCTCCAGTGGTAGAGATCACCTCTCCCCCATGACTGACTCTGTTAGTAAGGAACATGAAAATGCTCAGTTAGAAGCTGCATCATCCAGATTTCCACACAAGAACACGACCCATTGCACCCCCACGCAGGTCACCAGGGTGAGCAGTGGTCCACGGGCTGTGCAATAAATCATCCTGCAAAGGCCAGCTCAGAACAAACCCTGCAGCATGTCTCAACAAGTAATTACAAAAACATCCAACAAGATGAGAAACAGGCCTGAATTCGAATGTGCTAACATATTTTCAAAAACGTTAATTTATTTGTAAAACAAGGACACTACACAAATTGATCCTGGACATTGAAAAGTAATTAAAAAACCCCAGACATTAAAAAGGACAGAATAGTACTTGAGTGACTGATTAAAGGACTAAATGATGTGTTTAGAAATCAAAGTTCCATAATGTTTTGAAAGAAATTTCAGCAGTGTTTCACCATGTGCAATTCACCACAGACATTTCCAGTGTACACTCTGCGAGCTCTCGTGAAACACAGCCCTGCTCTAACGAACAAGAGACGCTGGCAATTAGAAACAGTTTCATGAATGTGTTTAGAGGCAGAAAATGGTAAAGGCACAGCCAGCCACAGACTGTTGGAAGTTACAGAAATCCTCATGGAAAAACACTGCCAGTGCTACAGAAAACAGCCATGAAATTGCAGCAGTGTTTGTTAGGCTGGTTGGAGAAGAAAAGTCTTAAAAGAGTAAAGTTTCCACCTTTGAATAACAACAATGTTGCGTGCAGCAAACATGATTCAAGTAATACCCATTTCCAGAAACAACACCAAAGAAAGTTTTACAAGCTCAAGTGAGAAGCACAAAGTGACCCAACTTTACATACTCTGAGAAAGTAATTCCGAGTGACTGGGCGATACTTTACAAGCGTTTCGCCATGCAGGAACTAAGCAAACAAAAACTGCTGCAAGGGAAGCGTATTCTACAACCAAACCCACCATGCAGCAGCAGGTCAGAGATCCCAAAAATAAACACACCTCTGTGTTTGTGTTTATAATTTTACAAATGGTGCTAAAGCCTATTTTGACCATTCCCCGTCACTCATGGTACAGAGTGCTATTAGAATGGGAAGCCGAATGCCACCGCACCAGCACCACAGGAAATTCCCAATTATCCTTAACTCAAGAATAGCACAGTGGACAACTCCTCACATTTTCTTCAACTGAGCTGTCACACAATATCCGAGTAACTTGAAGCAGGTTCTTTAACTGCATTCCTGAGCCCACACAAAACTCCCTGGAGCCAGAACTGAGGAGCACCCTGGGGAGCCCTGCTCCTGTAAAACTACTTTCAGTCATTTCTTGGAGGCAGAGGGGAATCAGAAATAATTTCTGCATCCCCAGCACGGGTCTTTCCTTAGCTGCAGTTCAGCCAGGGTTAGGAATGCACGTTGTTAGCCCCAGCCACGGAGCGGACTTGTACAGAGGCTGAATGGGGCTGTGCGAATACACAAAGCACCAAGGGCGATTGCAAACCAAAATTCTGTCAGGCTGGATGCCCTGGTGCTTCACCAGGCACTGAAGGATATAAATGTGGATGAGGGATTTACAGTGTCTAGGTCTCATAAGCAAAATTAATGTAACTTCAGCTCTTAAAGCAAAATTTATCATTTGGCTCAGAGAGACATTAACTGTCCGAGTCTGCTGCACACGCTGGCTTTAAAACACAGTTAAAAATTCAACTGATACCAATAAAACACACAAGAGTTTAAACTAAACTAGTCTCACTGGAGAGCAGCTTAATTTATCCCCACTTATATAACTTTTAAAATTTTATCATCACATTTTCAAAAACATTTTTCTTGCCAGTTTTCTACTTGGGAAGTACAAGTGTCCAAAAAAACCTTGATTCTCTACAAAGGGAAAATGAGAAAATAATTTATACAGATTAGTACCATGAAAGTCATTTTTTAAAAGAAATCGGTTTTACTTTCCCCTTCAAAGAGGTCTTTTAAAATTGCTTTATGTGCAAGTAAGTGAAAGAGGAAAAATTACTCCCGAGGGTAAAAAGGCAGACACTTTACTCTTCATTTGTTTTTATAATTTCCTGATCACTGTGATTTTTCCCTCTCAGACGAGCCATTCCTGTTAAATTTTGCAGCTCCTAGGTAGGGCAGAAATACCCAACTCCTCCTAACTGCTATTTCAAGTAACTGACAGGAGCTGTGCAGAGCTCATGTCTCCTGATAAATCCCACCCCGAGCAGCTGAGTAAGTCCTGCAGGAAGAGAGGCCACCCCACACAGAGCAAGGGCAGGACACAGCAACAGAGAGACAGCAGGCAAGTGCTACTTACCAAGGCCAGCAATCTGCCATCCTCCTTCATGGCCAGGAAGCGATTGGCACTGACACCTTTGATGGACACCACTCCTCGCTCCTCCGCCTGAAGCTGCAGCTTGACTGCGAACGAAACAAAAAAACAAAAACAAAAGGCTTCACTTTTGTTCACCTTTTTCAGCCGTCGTGGGATCAGGCAGTGCTTCAAAGCCTCCACCATAGAAAGCTTCAGCTTGCAATGAAAATGGTAAATTTTCAACATTTGGCTTTCTGATCCCATTTTTAGAAAGCACATAGCTACTTTCGAATTTGCAACGGCGAGACTGAGTTATTCCATCTTCATTTCGCATAAAGGCTAGCTTAAAACCCATGAAATTCCTTGAAAGGCCACTTAGGGCACAGGCAACTGCTCCCAGAAAATGGAAATTTTTCATGGCAATTTTTCCAGAGGTATCTCTCAATGTTTGCAGAACAGCATCGGACACTGAACGCACACAGCTCTGTACAGGCAGACTGTCAGCGAGCCTGACTGAGACTGTCCAGGTCCATATCACTCCCTAAGGGTTCTGGCAGTTCCCACAGAAAACATCCATTAGTTTACCTCATCCATCCAACAAGTGGGTGGAACAAACAAACAGAACTGCAGCAGTAGGTGAAGGCAGCAAAGGCACAAGAAACAGTGCTATACAAAGCAGGAATATGTCTTGCATCAATTAAAAGAAATTAAAGATTTTATAGAAATGAAAACCTATAAGGTCCTATCACACAGCTTTGAGCTACTACCTGTGAATTATTAACACAACACAATTGATTGCTGTAGCCATAAATCAAACCCAGCAGTATGGATGAAAGCTTCCCCTTTTGCCTGCCTTTGCCTGTTGTATACAACGTCTCAGATGAGAGCTTCCTTCACCCACCTGCTTTGGTTCAGCAGGTCCTTTATTCCATTTGGAGATGCAGTTTTAAATAGCTTGAGCTTTTCAGCCATCAGAATAAATGCCTGAAGTGACTGTAAATTTTGGAGAAGGAGCATCTCTTGAGATTCAGAGAGAGGTTCTTGCTTATTTGGCTTTTTGTTGAAGGGAAAAAAAGACAGCACTGAAGAAACCAACTGAAACTCCAACACCAGGAATACAGGGAACATAAAACTGTTGGGATAATTGCTGCAAACCCTTTTTCAGGGTAAAAGTTAAAAGTCGGGCACAATTTCATCTCAGAACCAAGTATCCAAAATATAGTGCTCGTAAGTTATGAGGCCAAAATCAGACTTGTGAACAGCTCCAAACACTTTGGTGTAACTCCTTAGCCTCTGGGGAAGCAAGAACGTGGAAAAGTGCTCTGGGCAGGGACTGTGGGAAATGGACTTCTGAGATGTGCCAAGCACACAGCTTTCACCACACGCTTAATAAGAAACAGCTGTGGAACAGCTGAAAATTAATATTAATTACTACAGTACTGACTTATTATGCTTCATGACTTTCTCTGGACAAAAATGCACATCCTACAGCATCCCACCAGGCCAGAAGTTCAAATTCTGTGAAAATAAACTTCTGGTAAAGGTTTCTAAGTCCTGTAAAAATTTGTATAGCTTGTGAAAAGAAAAAAAACAAACACCCAAGGTATTCCTGCAGAGCTTGAAAAGAGCTGCAATACTGAAAGCTCCAAAAGGAAAATCAGCTTCACTGGGTTTTCCTCTCTAACCCAAAAACACGTGAACAAACAGAGCCAGAACAGTACTGTGAGTTTTTCAGGTTTCAGTGTTATTTTACAGCTTTATTAATGCAGTGAGTATTTGCCACAGGGTTACACTGAACTGGAGATACCAAGATACAACACAGCCTTACTGATCAAACACATTTTGACTATATGATCATCAGCAGAAGTGACAATTTTAGGTTTAGCTCACTGCCACTAAATTGGTTGTAAGAGAAATGTATCACTTGACACCAATGATCTGCTTTTTTTACAGTCTTTGGTCACCAACAGCAACAGTGCAGACTCCATTCATCATTTCACATCTACTTGTTTTCAGCACAAGTGAACCTCATGACCCCATCCATGGAAGTCAAATAATTAAGACATTTGTAGCCCAAAAAAATGTAGCAGATTGTTGTGAAAGAGCTCATTAACCAAGGGCTAAAAAGGCCTGTTTTCCCAGATATTCTGGCCCCTCTAGCACAGCAGTGAGTTGTTTCCCTGTTCCCATTCCTGCCCTGCAATCCACAAGGAACACCAAACACAAGGCTCTGCTCAGTGCCTGCTGGTGTTGTGAGAACACAGAGCTCACCCGCTGAGCAAACATCCTCAGGACTGGGGCTAAGTCATCATCAAGTTATTAAATTAAACAATTAAAACCAACTCAAAGGACCCAGGAAATTTACAGCTCCTATTAAAGACTTGCTTTTCTATCATAATAAGATTAATAGAATCATTCTGCTGAGTAAGAAGGAATGAATTGCAGGACGTGCATTTGCACTTTCACACCAGCGAAGAAACTCTGAGTGTTGTAGCTCGAGTGAACCTACAGCGCCTTCCAGTCATACAAAAATGGATAGAGAGGGAAATGTTTTTCCCAACAGTACACAGAGGTCTGTTAGAGATTCATATTCACTGATGTTCTGGCTGAAAAACACCACAGGCTATACAGTCCAACCCACAGAAACCAGTACAATCTGTGGCTCTAAAGGAAGCTGGAGCACACTGCAACAGGCACCGAGATGTTCTTTCAGAGGGTATGTGGCCAGGACAGATGTACAAGCTGCAGGTTAAACTAAACAGTGTATTTCAGAGAGTTACAAATGGGCATTTATTTCACAACTTGGAGAGACTTTTCTAAGAATATGGAAGTTGAAAAGTGGTATTTAATAGCATTGTGGCTGGCAAAGTTTCAGATTTCTCTTAAAAATGGATCTTCCTCGTTTTCTTAGATACCTCAAAAAAAATTATTTCCAAGGCACTTTTGCACAGTCCAATGGAGAAAATAATTTTGAGAACAAGTAGCTAGACAGGAAAGCTGTTAGCAAATACAAAAAATAAAGAAAACATGAACATTTTCCAAAAGTAATTTTATTGTCCTGAGCACTAGAACTGGAAAATCACACGTACAATGCAAACTCTCAGGTCCTTTTACAGGTCTAATAAACCAAGGTTTTAGAGTGGCCCAGACCCAGGAACTGCACAACTTAAATGGTCCCAAAAGGTTTCCCTGTTATGCATCATAAACGGTTTGGCCAAAATCTCCTTCAAAATGGGTTCATTTCAAAGACCTGGGCAAAACCTACCAACTTAATACTTGAGGAAAACAGAGCTGCACATTCTGGAAGTTGCTCACTGCTGAGCTGGGACTACCTTTTGACTCCCAGTGGGAATCTGCTGGCAAGCCCTTCGCCCGGGGCAATCCCTGTGACCAAAGCCACGTGCTGGTATTTCACTCACAGCAGCTGCACTGGCTAAGATGTTCTGGGGCAGGAGAATGCCACAGGATTAGTAAGGAAAAGGGAAAATAAAGGTCACGGGGAGGAGAGAAAGGGACAGAAACACGCCTGGAATAAAATAAAAGGCAAACAAAAAGAGCAAAGAGCAGTGAAGACAGGGCAGGGTAAGGGCAGTCCAGGAGGGTGCTGTACTGGAGCATGAAGCAAACACACATCTGAAGGAGGTGGAATTTGAGGATGTATTAGCCAAAGGGATTAATAAAACCCCCATTTTCCTACTCCACAAGGAAATGGGAATTCTAACCACTATATCAGAGAAACCATGAAGTAAAAACCAACTATGAGCTTCTGGCTTTGGATGCATTTACACACCAAATAAAGGTTCGATTACAGCTTCAGCTGTATTTTCACTGTAACCCTTCTAGCTAACACCCTACAGACAGCCTTCAGTGTAGTCTAGAGCTACAAGTATCATCCCCAGTGTCAGCATCACACAAAACTCAGGTCAGAAGGACTCCCTCTAGTCCAGCCTCCTGCTGAAGAGACTCCATCACTTCACAGTGAGAACCCTGCCTGCCACACTGCAGCAAAGGAAGCAGCTCACAGCCTGGGAAGAGAGGAAAAATTGGATACTATTTCAACCTCCGTTTTCACTAACATACAGCTGCTTTATTAGAACAAAAAGCAAAACACCTCTCAGTTTACGAGAAGGGAGAGTTTCTGTACCCCCAAAAATCCCAGGCTGCACGTCTCTGGATCAATGACTAGTGTTACTACAGTCTGCTGTGGAAAAGCTCAGCCCCAGCCAAAGGCTCAGGGCCCATCTCCAACATATTTGCAGAGGCCCTGTAAGGAAAATCCTTCCACGAGGCCCCCGAGTGACAGCGCGGTGAAGCTGCTGCGCCAGCTCCCACTGCCCATCCTCCCGCACCTCTGTGCCCACAGGAAAGCACAAAGCAGCTGTTCTGCAGCCTCACTGCAGAGGTGGGTCAGCTCCAGGGGGAATAAGCATCAGAAATGCAAGGAAGTTCACAAAAAAGGGGGGAAAGTAAAACTCAACAACATGTTGCTAAATGCAACACCCTACAGCCGAATTCCCACTCCTGCATCCTCTGCGGCTGAAGTTGGCCATTCCTTCATGCTCAGGGGCAACATTATTCCCAGCCAGGTGTCCAAGCAAAACACAAGGAATCAGACGTGCTTGCTCCACACCTAACAGGACAAACCCTCCCAAACCCAGGGGCTGGTTCAAAGCTACACATGCCTTTACAAACACACATATATTAACACCCCCTTCTGGCTTTTCCTGTCTGCTGGATCAGACCCAAACCCCAGCCTGGTGATGCCTACTGTAACTTTCTCTAAGAATTACAAATATCTTTGTGTCCCTCTGCTCACATCAGTCTCTGACAGTTTCTGATATCTCTTTCTCAAAGGCACAATCAGCAATTTAACATCTTCTGCTATTTGATAAGCACTGACATACAAGGCATCCCCCGGTCTTCAGACTGTGAACAAGAGAACAACTCCTTGCTCGCTTTCATACGCTCGTGGTAAAAGTGAGCCATTGCCAGAGTCACTGATGCAGACACTGCCTAAAACCTGGAACACATATGGGGCACCAAAAGGAGAAATAGAGAGGAGAAACAACCAGCAAACCTTAGCAGGAGAGGTGGGCTGCTAATAAAC